CGCCGAGGGGCCGGGCGGCCGCGGGCCGGAGGCGCCTCCCGGGCCGCCCGCGCGGGGAGCCCGGCGGGCCTGGGTGTCCGAGGGCGCGGGGCCCCGGCAGGACGGCGGGGCGGGACCTCAGCCGGCGGCGTTTGTTGCCGTCCGAGGCTGGAGGCTGGGGGCGGGGGCCCGAGCCCCGGCGCTGGGCGGCCCGGCGCCGGGGCTCCAGCCCCACGTGGGGTCCCGCCCTCCGGGGCTCCCCGAAGGCCCTGCCCCTAACAGGCGTCCGTCTCCGCGGTAGGACTTGAGCGTGTGGGTTTCGGGAGGACGCGGTTCCGTTCCTAGTAATGGGACCGGGAGGGACAGCTGCCAGGCCGTGCGGTGGGCAGTGCGGTAGGTGTGGCCACGCACTGCAGCCGGCAGCCGCGTGGGCAGTTGCGTCCCACCCTGGATCCTGTTACTCCGACCTGGGGCGCAGGGTTGCAGCGCCAGGCGCCCAGACGAGAGCCGCCTTACCTGCCCTTGAAGCCGATGGCCCTCTCTGGGCGACACAGGCTGTCGAGCTCTCGATCAGAGGCTGCTTTTCTGGGAGTCTCGCAGGAGGCTTCTCCCACCCCGTGTCCGTCTCCCACCCCAGTCCTGCTCTGTAGGGAGAGCTGGCTGGGGACATCCGACCGACGAAGTCCCACCCAGCACAGTAGCCTGGTGGTGTGGCCAGGAACAGGGCCGGAAACTGCCTGCAAGCTGCCCCGGAATTGGGGAGAAGAGGAGGCATTTATCTCCCCTGAGGGTAGCAGCAAGTGGTCTGCTGGGCTCCAGGGAGGACTGGAACCTGTCTCAAAAGGACAGAAAGCACAGGAAAGTGGAAGCCAGGCTCTGCTCCCCACTAGAGATATGGTGGCTGATAGGGGAGCACAGCAACCTGCTGAAATCACACCTGAGAGTATGGAAACCAGAGTTTGGGGAAGTGTGTGTGTGTTCACATCAGAGAGAGACGCTCAGACTCACAGACCTTGCGCCTGTAGCCTTCCTGCTTAACTGTCCCACGCTGGGCAGTACTGCCCTTGGTGGGTGGCTGCAGGGGCTAGGGCTGGGAGCCTCAGTGGTCCTGGTGCTGCATTTCTGTAGCTTGGTCATCATGGGGCTTAAGGCTTGGCTCCTGGCCAGACAGGCTCCTCTGACCCACAGCCCCTATGAGAACAAGGCAAGACCCATTCCTGCTGCAGTCCTGGGCCTCTCCAGAGCAGCTTTGGAGTCATTCCTCCAACCCTAGAGGCCGAACTGTCCTCCTCAGTCTCAGGCGTGCCCTGGGCAGGCTGACCACAGACTTGTCTGCCACACCCGTGGGAGGGCAGGGCAGGCTGAGGCAACGTGGTCCCCTCCCATTCGCTGGTGGTGCCACGTCCTCCCGCCCAGCTGCAAAGGGTGTTTTTTTTTTTTTAAAGAAGTTTTTTTCCTTCATGCTTTGGCAACCTTGTTCTGCTGATAAATAAGAATACTTCCGCGTATTAAGATGGATTAAGGATGATCATCACCCATTTCCCCATTGAGCTGCTCCTCTGGAGCTGAGGGGTCTTCTCCCCCCAGCTCTAACTGCTCTCCACCCTCTGCTTTCTTTTTTCCAGCTAGCCACACTGCCCTGGAAGGCAGGCTCCCCCAATCCTCCTGGCACTTCTCCCTTTTGCGTTTTGGTCAGTGCTTTGAATAGATGGAGCACTTTAAAGAAGGGAAGGAGGAGGTCCCTAGGGGTGAGGCTCAGATGAGCCAAGGCCTGGACAGTTTGGCAGAATCCTTAGATGTGCACAGACCCAGAGCCAACAATGGTCCTTCCCAGAAGAGCTGACCCTGATAACACCCACAGGCTAAGGCAGCTTCCAGGCTTGAAAGCCCAGGTGCAGGGGAGTGGCACACAGCTATGCAGTGGTGTGGACTCCCCTCTCTCATACAGTGACTAGTGGTTTCAAGGGACCCGAGGACTAGGTTTCAGAGGCCAGCCTGGGGTCTGTCTCCCTTAGTCTCAACTGAACTTCCTCCACCCTGGCCCGAGTAGCTTCCTGCCCTGCCCTCTGCTGCCCCTTTCTCCATGGCAGTTCCTCTTCCAGGAGGCCCAGGCATGCTTAGAATGGCCTTCTTCCTCTTGTTCAGCTCCAGGGCATGTCTGTGTCCCTGGACACCACATCAGGTATTCAGTTACATCTAGAGAGAACCCTGTCCACCCAGGTGCTTCACCGAGTCCTGCCTGCTGCAGATGAGGAGTTGAGCTCAGAGGTGCTGTGCTGGCTCAGCAGTTCAGCCAGGTGCCACGGAGCTCTCTGTTGGTGCTTACCACAGTGAGGTAGCCCTAGCGTGCCAAGGGGAAGAGCTTGGGAGAGCACTGTGTCCATTCGCTGCTCATTTCTTCTTTGTCATGAGACCTCTGAGAAGCTTATGACAGCGCAGAGGATCCCAGCATCTGCGGGCTGGAGCCTTGTCCACCAGCACCTGACCCCAGCGTGGCCTCTGAGGCACATTCCCCTCAGCACACACTTCTGACACATACGCATGTCTGCAGACAGAACTGTGGAACCATGCTTCCTGCCGCAGCTGACAGCACAGTGGAATGTTCTGGTTCCTGAGCATTACAACACCTAGTGGCCAGATTTCCCCAGTGGAAAGAGCTTATTTAAACAGTTTTCGCAAGCTGGGGCCCAAACTCAGCTCTGCACTGCCCTCGCCAACTTGCCTGAGTCTTTTCCCTGGCAGTGTGCCGTGCTGTGAGCCTGGCGGCCTCTGCCTGTGACTGTGTCCCAGGTGTCCCTGCCACGTCAGTTCTCAGCTCCTGCAGCACTATGAGCGGAAGACACTTGGATATTTTAATAGCTCTGCCAGGTGGTGCATGAAGTCCACTGAGCAGGTCCAGGAAGAGCCACACGAAGGGACAGGGCATGTGGCCAGCACTCAGCATGACACTGGTCTCCACCATGGCCTCAGTCACCTCAGGCATGGGTCTGACTGGTGTTCTGCTTGTCCCTCTGTGCTGTCTGACATTCCAGCCCCTCATTCCCAGAGCTCCTGGTACCTTTCTGAGGGACACAGTGTGAAACCATGGTGTGGCACCAATCTAGGCCTTGTCAGCATTCTTTTTTGTGGGAGTGGCAGGGTACTTGGGATTGAACTCATGGGTGCTCTGCCTCCTCAGTCTTTTTTTTTTTTTTTTGAGACAGGGCTTCCCTAAGTTGCCCATTGCAGTCCTTATACCTCAGCCTCCCAAGTTGCTGGTATTACAGGTGTGTGCCACGCACGAGGTCCCTTGTCAGCATTTCTAAGGCAGGTTCTTCTGCATTGTGTTTGTCTTAAACTGAAGAAATGGTAATCTAAGGATGATAACTGGCTGACGGACAGCCGTACTATTGTCACCACCCGCACTGCCATTACTAAAAGAGATTGAGGGTTTCTTTGCAGTGATTACCACATTGCTGTGTCCTGAAATGGACTTCAGGAGTTTGGTACTACCTGACCTGATCCACTCCCGCTTGCTCTCAGTGCTGGGGGTGGCGGGGTCTCCTGTGTGCCTGCCCTGCTTGCTATTTTTGTTTTGTTCATCAAGGCTGCCGGCCTCTCCCCAGCCAGGCCCCACCCAAAAAGACCCTAGACTTCAGTAGCCAGTGTCAAGGTGGGAAGCCTCAGGTCCTACTCCAGCGCCATTGTGCCAAGAGCCCTGAGCCCTGTCCTGGGGCCTCTGTGAGGACCATGTCCTATCTCCTCAGGCGTCCATCGGTCGGGAAGCCAAGTCCCAGACATGGAGGTGGAGGAGCAGCCACCTCAGGAGGTGAGGGGGGTTGCTGGGCGCTTCTTGAACAACCCTGGGGTCTGCAGCATTTGTGCTGCTGCTGCTCAGCTCGGTGCCCACCCCAGTGTGGCCTCTGTCACTCCAGCTGTTTCTCTGCAAAGAACCTGGCACAGCCACTGGGTTTTCTAGAGTCCAGCGGGAAAACCCCCAAGGGGAAGGTCCCTGTAACAGGCTGGCCTGGGGGTGGCCTTCAGTGGCAGAGGTCAGCCTGATCTGGGAGGCCAGAGTTCAGGGAACATGATCACCCAGCTTGGAACTCTCCCTCCACCCACAGGCTGATGGGGAGCCCGTCCTGACATCAGGGGCCTCGGGGTCAGTGCCCAGGGTGCTTTCCGGAGAACCCCAGAACCTGTGTACGTCTTCCCTTGCATCCTGGCGCATTTCCTGGGGTGGGCCCCTAGGCTGGGGGAGGCAGCTGGCCTGGCTACTGCTGAGAGCCTGGCAGAGCTGCAGGCATCCCTGGCCCACCAGGGAGTGGAAGGAGCTCTTGAGTGCATCAGGAGCCCCTTCTTGCTGTGCCCCAGTTCTGCCTGCTCGGAGCCCCTGTCCTTTACCCAATCCAGCCCTAGTTGGAGTTGAGCAGTGGCTGGGACACTTGGTCCCCTTGCTGTCACCTGCCCTGGGTGATCCCTTGCAGCAGCCTGGGTGGGATAAGGGACAGATGTAGCCTAGATGCCCACACAGTCACAGGAGCAGCCATGGGTAGATGTGCCCAGGAGGCTTGCCCCCCCCCCCACACACACACTTGCCTGCAGTGCTGGCTTCATCCCACTGTGGCCTTTGCTGTTGGTGCAGCTGACGTGGATGCCTTCAACCTGCTCCTGGAGATGAAGCTGAAACGGCGGCGAGAGCAGCCCAACCTGCCTCGCACTGTGACCCAGCTGGTGGCTGAGGACGGGAGCCGGGTGTATGTGGTGGGCACTGCCCACTTCAGTGATGACAGCAAGCGGGATGTTGTGAAGGTCAGTACCACCTCTGTTCGCCATTTGCCCTGGCCTGTTCTCCAGGGCCACCCCCACAGGCCTGGATGCAGGTCTGGGTGGGCTGGGCCCCAGGACTGCAGTGGAAGTTTCTGCTTCGACGTGGTCAGTCACTAGAAGGTGGACTCTCACTGTGGCCCTGTGCTTTCTTCCCTTAGAAGCCCACCTGCTTCGTGACTTTATTTTTATTTGTTTTTTAATTTTTTTTGGTTGTAAATAGACAGAATGCCTTTATTTTACTTGTTTATCTTTATGTGGTGCTGAGGATCTAACCCAGTGCTTCACGCATGCTAGAGAAGCACTCTGCCACTGAGCTACAGCCCCATGACTTTATTTGTTGCTTAAAGAAGTAAACTGTCCCCCGCAGCACAGTTGTTGGCACCAGGCTAGTGCCTTCCTGGCCACCTCTGGGAGGGAGGGGGCTTGGTCTGGGTGTGGGCCCTGCCCTATGGTGGCCAGCATGTATCTAGGAGAGAGGTGACCCACCTTGCAGACCATCCGGGAGGTGCAGCCTGATGTGGTGGTGGTGGAGCTCTGCCAATACCGTGTGTCCATGCTGAAGATGGATGAGAGGACGCTGCTGCGTGAGGCCCGGGAGGTCAGCCTAGAGAAGCTTCAGCAGGCTGTGAGGCAGGTGCGCAGGCAGGTGGTGGGTGAGGCCTCCCAGGTTTACGTGGGGATGCGGGGCTGCCCTGTTCCCTGCAGAGAAGGTGTTGGGCTCAGGGCCAGGGTCCCAAGTGTATTGCATCCTGGCTTCTGATCAGCACCCAGCCTACTCTGACCCTCCACCTTGGCTGTGGAGGGGAGGGGGCATTTCTATCAAGTTTCAGATGAGGAAGGACAAGGTAGATGATGATCTGACCCTAAGGCAAAGATTCCTGATGTCAGGATCTCAGCAGCATCTGGCCTGTCTGTGCCCCACCTTGTGGCTACATGGCCCTCATCCGGCACTGCTTCTCATTCGTGTGTGTGTGTCTTGGGGGCAGCCCAGCACCATACACCCAGCTGCAGCCAGCTTGCACTGCAGGGGTATCCCAGACAGCTTGGCCTGCTGTTCACCTGGTGCCCCCCAAGTGAGGGAAGTCACAGTGGACCTTCACAGCCCATCTTAAGAGAGGTGGTTCCCTCTCCAGCCAGGGATCATTAGCACCCATCCCACCCCCAGAGAGAGGGTCAGTAATCTGCTGGGAAGCACATAGCTGCAGCTGGGCACAGGTAAAGGGGCACAGAGGAAAGAGGCATGAGTCAGGTCTGGGAGACACCAGCACCAGCTACACCTCAGTCCTGTAGGGAGTCTGAGCACTCAGTCTCCCCAGCTACAATGTGACAACACAAACATGTTGCTGACGGGATGGAGGGCCTCCTGTGCCCTGGTGTCCAGAGCATTTGGGGGGCTCAGCCTCCAACCTCTCTGGAGGTCAGATTGGTACCATGTGGTCTAGATTCCTGTGAGTCTTGTGGTTAGCCTGGACCGCCTGGTGTGGCCTGAGCCCCAGGTAAGCAAGGACACTCCTGTCAGCAGAACATCCCCAGGGCTCCAGGTACCTTCCAGGGGTCAAAGGCCAACCTTGCTGGGATGTGAACAGTCTACCAGCAGCTCATGGGTAGAATCCACCCAGGGCAGTAGGCTTGGACCAGAGCCTCATGGTCCTGCCATTTTTGGGGTGCTGGGGGATCTCCTAAGTGTACCCAACTGCCTCGAGCCCACTGGTCTGGCCAGACCCAGAGGCAGCCTGGGCTGTGATCTGTGTGAACATGGCCTACCAGGTGACCATAGTGCCATCCGTATTGGCCTTGGCAGGAGGTGTGGCGAGCAGTGAGGCAGCCTCTTGGAGACCCTGAACATCACTGTTTGCCCAGGATCAGCCTGTGTCTCACACACATGGTCAGGCCATCTGACTGTGAGCTGGCTCCTTGCCAAAGCCTTGACTGTCCTATAAAGAAAGAAAATGTGTTTGAAAGGTGGCTGTTGAGGCCAGGATGCCTCTGCTCTGGTACCCACCTGGACCCTCCTTACATGCCAGGGCAGCCTCCCCTTGAGTGTGGAAGGAGCCCAAGGGTGTTGGGCACTGCCCTACCTCCCTCCCTGTGGGCGCCACCTGCTAACATAAGGCCTCTCCCTGCAGAACGGACTCATGTCTGGGCTCATGCAGATGCTGCTGCTGAAGGTGTCTGCCCACATCACAGAGCAACTGGGCATGGCCCCTGGCGGAGAGTTCAGGGAGGCCTTCAAGGAGGTGGGTACCAGGCATGGCCTGCAAGGGATCGGGGAGCTGCTGCACCCATGAGTCCTGACACTCAGCCTCTGCTCCAGGCAAGTAAGGTGCCTTTCTGCAAGTTCCACCTGGGTGACCGACCCATCCCAGTCACCTTCAAGAGGGCCATCGCTGCACTCTCCTTCTGGCAGAAGGTCAAGCTGGCCTGGGGCCTGTGCTTCCTGTCAGACCCAATCAGGTAGGGCAGCCCACCTGGCCCTCCATGTACATGTCCAGCAGCTGTCCCTGCCTCCTCTTCCAGCTGAGCCTCCTCCCACAAGGACCCCCAACCTCCTCCCACCATAAACCCCAAGTAAACAATGTGGTGGTCCCTGCCCTGGGCCAGCAGGACCAGCCTCCGCTGGCCTATCTCTGCGGGCTGGCAGCGTGCCCTCTGCCCCTAGCAAGGACGATGTGGAGCGCTGCAAGCAGAAGGACCTGCTGGAGCAGATGATGGCCGAGATGATCGGGGAGTTCCCTGACCTGCACCGCACCATCGTCGCGGAGCGCGACGTCTACCTGACCCACGCGCTGCGGCAGGCCGCCCGGCGCCTTGAGCTGCCACGCGCCTCTGAAGGTGGCGGGAGGGCCGGGCGGGGGCTCCCTGGGATGCAGTGTTCCCGCGCCGCAGCTGACCTCCGCCCTCCCCCACAGCCGAGCCTAGGAAGTGTGTCCCTTCCGTGGTCGTGGGCGTCGTGGGCATGGGCCATGTGCCCGGCATCGAGAAGAACTGGAGCACCGACCTCAACATCCAGGAGATCATGACGTGAGTGCCCAGGCCCGTCCCTGCAGCCCCCAGCGGAGGCCACGCCGGGTCCCCCAATGCTCGGTGGTGCCCACACGTGGGGGGCTGGGGCTGGGGAGCGTGTGCCCCAGCCAGGCCCAGCCCCCCCTTCCTCCCCCAGCATCCCCCCGCCGTCCATCTCGAGCAGAGTGTCCAGGCTGGCCTTGAAGGCCGCCTTCTTCGGCCTGCTGGGCTACGGCCTGTACTGGATGGGCCGCCGCACCGTGAGCCTGGTCCTGTCGCTGCCCGCTATGCAGTACTGCCTCCAGAGGGTGTCTGAGTCCCGGCCGCGCCAGTAGGCAGCCCGCGGGGGAGACGAGAAGCCGGCACCGCCCTGGAGTCGTCTTGGGTGCAGGTGCATTAAAGCCACCCCCCATGGGGGTCCAGGCCAAGCCTCGCTGCCCTCCCCAGTCCCTGCCCACCAAATAAAAGATTATTGAATCATCTGAGCTCGGGCCTCCCAGCAGCCCCCTCCACACCGCAGGGGCTGTCCATGGGCTTCAGCACCCAGGCCAGCTCCGGGGGCGGGATGGGAGGTGCCAGGTGCACAAGACCCGTCCCCCTGGGCTGGGCCCGGTGAGCTGCTGACTGTACCTACCTCACTGTGCCTTGTGCTGCAGCTGGCAGGAGCGTCTGGTCCCAAGTGCGTCTCCCGGTGGGTTTAGGGCCGGCCGGTTCGGCAAGGGCCGGACGCCCCACACCGCTGTGTACTGGCAGCTCCGCGGGAGATTTGCTGACCTGGATGTGCCCTGGCTGCAATCTCTGCCTACAGAGATTCTGTGTTTGGGTTTTTTTTAATGTCTAAAAATTTTTCACTCAGGTAATTTTAGCTTCAAAGAAAAACAAAAACTGGAGCAAATGTCAGGAAATACAAGCCTTAAAACCAGCTGGGACAAAGAGGAAGGCTTCCTTTGTGTCTCTGATCTGAGTGGGCGTGTGCACGTTGGGTCAGCTTGGGGTCCAACCCAGCCCTCTGGGGGCTGTACCTGAAGGCTGGCACAGGCCTGGGCTGCTTCAGGTGTGAGGTTGCTGTCTAGGTCCACCCTCCTTGAGGTCAGGAGGGCCTTGAACCTGCTGTCTGCATCCAGTGGGGGTACCTGGGCCACCTTGACTCTTGGTGGACACCCAGTCTGTGTGTCAGCCTGTGCCACGCAGCGCTCCTGGTCAGCTGTGGCCAGCATCTGTACAACTCCCCAATCAGGGCCCAGGGTCATTTGTCCTGTGTTGACTGTCAGCTGAATCAGGTAAAACCCACCCATTTTGAGCTGGACAGGGACTGCCAAGCTGGCTGGGCTGTGTCTTCCTGTCTCATGTTTGTGGATTTGTTCCCTTAGAAATTGAAATAAATTCTAATTTTGGAAGCTCCTGCTTTGTGAAGTGTGTGGAAGTGGGGCTCAGGTGAAGGCACAGGGAGGTCCAGGCCTCCCATGCCCACCCCCTGGGCCTGCAGGATGCTGAGGGCACTGCCTGAGGCCTGGGGAATGTGCCATCCACCTTAACGGAGGACACAGTTCTGGCACCTACGTATATTTAGCAAAGGCCTCCACCCAGAAAGGTAGACCGGGCCCAGCCAAGACAGCCTGCTCAGGGTCCCTTCATACCTCCCAGTACAGACTTGCACACATGAGGGGAGGAGGCCCAGTGGGGACCAACAGCATGAACCTACTCAAAAAGAGACCTACAGTGAATGGGGACGGAGGAGGCTGGAATGCAGAGGGCTTGGCTGTGGGTGCTGGGTGGCCTCTTCCCCACGTCTGTTCCCTAGGAAGCTTGACTGGATGCCCCAGGCTGGGTCTTACTGTCCTCTCTGGCCTGCATGAGTTCCATGGTACCAGCAGGTGGGCCTCACTAGCCCAGAGGTGGGCAGGGGCTTTAGGGATGCCACGCCTATGCCTGACCAGGTCTTCTCTCCACAGGCCCCAGGTGGTGCTGCTGAAACCCCAAGGTCTGGCTGGGTGGGGCATGAGGGATGAGAGGTCAGGCACCAGCTGGGCCCCTCTACAGGTCTTTCTAGCCTGCGTGCACCCACTCAGCCAGGTGGCTTCTGACCCATCACCCACACTCAGTGTCAAGACTGCTTCCTGCTTCCAGGACCTGCCTGGTTCCTGCCCAAGAATACTGGGGACAGGTCAGGACATCCACACAACAGGCTGCTTTAGGCTCATGCAGGAGGGTCTGGTGTGCCAGGGTACTCCTGGACCACTGCTAGGCCAGGGCAAGGTAAACCCCCACAGGCAGCCAGTAGGGCTCATGTTGGGTGTCAGAGACAGGTGTCAATGCACAGTGGGAGGATTACAGGACTGAAGCCCTGGCCAGCTGCTTCAGATAGAGGAGGCAGCTGTGGCCTCCAGTGGGAATGGTGGCTGACTGGTTGCTGGGACAAGGGTGAGGAAGTTTCTGCTGAGCCAGCTCAGCCCCATCCTGGGAGGAACTTCCCTCAGATCTGGGTGGATAACCCCAGGGCCTGCCGTGGCAGGTACACCATCCAGCCCAAGGGGACCAGTGCCCCTTCCAGGTGAGCAGCCACCCACACACTGTACTACAGCCTGGGGTAGGGACCCACCAGTGCTTTGAGCCCAAGGGTGAGATGCTAATACACATGGGTGGAAAGAGGCAGGGAAGGTGGGCTGTGCTTTACCAGTGGGGCTCCAGCCCACCCCCTGAAGGCACAGAGGTGTTCACTGAGTGCTGTTCACTCCATAGGTGCTGGGCAGAATGTAGGCTTGGCTTCTGAGTCCCTGGATGGTAGAGACTTGGGTGCAACTTCAGAGCGCCGTCAGGACACTGGGTAGCAGCTGCATCTGACAGACTGTGGATCTTCACCCTAATTTTTAAAATTGTTATTATTTTAGTTGTAGATAGACACAATACCTTTATTAATTTTATGTGGTGCTGAGAATGGAACCCAGGGCCTCACACATGCTAGACAAGCAAGCGCTCCACTACTGAGCCACAACTGCAGCCCTCTTCATCCTATTTTTGAAAATCCAGATTTCTATTACAATATGTGTTTATACTACATTGATAACTGGGAAAAAACAACGGGGTATATGTTTTTCAGATAAATACCTGTGAATCCTAGTGACTTGGGCCAAGGCACGATTGAAAGTTCCAGGCCAGCATGAACAACTTAGTGAGATCCTATCTCAAAACACAAAAAGGACTGGGGATGTGCTCACTGATGAAATACCCCTGGGTTCAATCTCCAGTACCTAAATAAATACTTAGGGGAATGTGGCTGTCAGAGAGGGGTAGGCGGCATGGGGCTGCTAAGGCTCCTGCCAGTTTCTCTGCAACACACGAGGGTGGTGTCTAGATGGTGATTCAGAGTTGAGACTGGGGCAGAAAGAATCCCTGGACTCTGAGAGGTCCTGGCAGGAGTACAAACAGAGCTTCAGAGGATAGGAGGATTGTACTGGTCATGGGCAAGGGCCTGAGTCTTGTCCTAGGGACTGCAACTTGGATCTCCACAGAACACAGGGGAGGGGAGTGGGGCCTCTAGATTAGGTCAAGCAGAAACAAGATGTGGCTGGGAGCTGCTGACCTGAACCTTGGCACCCACTCCTCAGACCATCACTAGCTGGGGCTGAAGCATGTCTGAGCCCTGACCTCCAGCTGGGTCTGCAGTCCTAGTTGGCTGTGGGCCTGCAGGACATGGACAGCCTCATACCTGGGCCCAGCCTACTATAACAGCTTCCATGCTGGCAAGGAGGGTCAGCTCCCCCGCTAACCTTGGCCAGCACTCAAGAAACACTGGTGAGCACCTGGGACTGCAGGGGGCTCTCCAGTCCACCTCCCCTGCTCCCAGGAGGACTCTCCTGCTTTGCTGAGAAGCTCCTACAGGCTAGGAATGAGGGTTGGGGGGAGGGAGGTCCCCAGCCCAGAGGTCCCAGATTTCCCAGTACCTCTGCCCTGAGGACTTTGCCCTGGGGGTCCCATATAGTGAAGCAGCTCTGAGCACCTTGGGACTGGGAAGGCCATGGAAACACACAGAGAGGGGCTGCCCATACCATCCAGGGGATATGGTTCCAGGGCTCAGGACAGGCTGACAGCCAGGTGGGCAGCGCCTTCAGCATACCAGATCAAGACCCTTCCAGAACAAAACTGGAGACTTTGCTAGCTACCGCCAAGATTAACCAGGCACAGGCCGGTAATAAAGCAAATGAGGCCAGGCAGGAATCAACAGGCCATGGCCAGGGTCTCACCAGGCTGCCTCCAGCCTGCGCTGGACAGCAGGCAGTGACGGGGTGTAGGAGAGACGGGGTGGGCCCTGCACCCCAATCTGTTGTGTGCTTGCACAGTCCTATGAGATATCAGTGCCCCACTGGGCCTAGGCAGGTGAAGACTCATGCATTAAGTTCAAGCCCCTCTCTGCTGTGTCTTCTGTGCTGGTATGGGGTGAGGGGCAGCCAGCTCCTATCCTGCCCAGCCCCTTGGACCCTGGACTGCTTGCAGACACTCAGGAGGGCTTCTTGAAGAAGGCCATGCAGTTCAACAGTGTAGCCAGAGGCAAAGCCACCAAGGCTGAGAAGGGCCACAGCTCTTCTGTGCTGACCTGTTGAAACCCTTAATACCTACCATGTGTCCCCTCAGGCTAGCAGGTCACACAGCCTAATAATATTCATGAACTCCCCAAACCCAGTCTCAGCCGAATGTGGATGAGACAGGGAGCCGGGCAGGATGGTTCAGTAGCACCCAGGGCCTGGGAAGAGGAAGGGGTGACACTAAGCTATGGCCCTGTCTCCTAGGGCAGTGACAAAGTGCCGCAGTCTGGCTGGGCACAAATCACTAGTCACTGAAGCAGGAACAAACTTTATTTTTAAACTGCAGGAAAACACTTCACACAGCTCCCGGGGAATCCTCCC